GTAACACTCAAAAGAGAAAGGAAAACTTGAAATCGCATCATAGGACCCCTTTAATAGTGTACCATAGGCGTCAACCCCTCCCCGGCATCACACTGTGGTAAGGGGCGTAGCACTTCGTCACACGCTTGAGGTATTCAGCCAATCACAACGCACTGGATAGCTGGCCAATCAGAGCACACTTCGCTTTTCAGAACAATGAGCTTTGTAAAAAAAACAACGCATTTCAGAAAGGCGGGGCATAGAGGAGCAACAATAATGTACAGTATGTGGAAAATAATGTTTTTTTAAAACCTTAAACTGCATAAACATTTCATTACACCAAATACACAAAATAATGTTCTTTTTAGCAATGTCATATGACCCCCTTTAAATGAGTTAATAATTTTAACTCATTTTTCACCGTAATTACTTAAACTAATTAACGCGTTAAATCACCAGCCCTAATATATCTATATATATATCTATATCACTCTCTCTCTCTCTCTCTCTCTCTCTATATATATATATACACATACACATACACACACACACAAAAAGTATATATACTTTTGACAAGCTTCACCTACCTTCATCATTTAGGAGACGTGGTTTGACAAATAAACATCTGTTGGTGGTTTCATTTGAATCCAGTTTGTAGATGTATTCATACTCATACTTCTGCTTTTTTGCTTTATATACAACATACTTGTATGGTATGGACACAGCTTCTGCACTGGTCTTCTTGCATACAAATTTCCCCTCGATAAGAAATCCATGCTCACCGAGATCCCTAAAAATCATATTATTTTCAAATAAATGGTTTCAGTAATGAATAGTCGATAAGTGGTCCAGAAAAACTTTACTAACCGTGACACAGACAGCTTGACCAAATTATTTTCCCAGTCACCAAGGCAACCACCGGCCCTTATGAAGATAAGATCTTCTTCTAGGTTAAATTTGAAGTCTTTTGACAAGACTGCATGAAAGTAAATTGTCAGTCTGTCACTGGAACTTATATGTTGAGCTGATGCTGGATTCCTATAGTTCAAAAATATGAAAATAATCATGTAAAAACAAATTGCTGTGAAGAAGTGCATTTATCACACAATTCTGTATACCTTTTTGGTGGCACGTCACACTGACTTTTTGTATTGTCATTTTTATTGTGTTTCTGGTCAGCAGCAGAATCTTTCTTTTCATGTGAAGAGTGCTGCTTCTTATTGTGCACAGCCTTCACTGCTGCATCTCTGCTGGAACCCTGATTCTTCTTCACATAAAATAAACCAAAATGGTCAAAATTCAATTTGTCATTTTCAGTAAGATCAATGTTTTGGTTTTCGGTCCGTGTATGTTGCGTTCATTCATTTTTTAAAATTATTATTTTATTTAATATTGAAAACATAAACATGAAAAAACTACTTTTTTTTTTTCAAAAAAAAAAAAAGAATTTGCCTTGATTTTTAGTTATGTTTAGGGGTAAAAAATGGGTAAACCGCTTGAATATTCGATTTACACATGTGGGCGGTAATGAAACGCCCCTTTTCAGTGATTGGTCAATCAAAGATCAAATGGTGTGGTCATAATGTCTTCTTCAGTTCCATGCAACAGAATAACAGTCTTCCAGTGCTATAGTTAAAGCGTTTATTGCAACTACATTTCATCTCTCTCCCATCAAACAACCAGACTAGCATGGCTTTGACAGTGCCTGACTGCATTGAGACATGCTGAAGTCGCGTTTGATCTCATGCTGTATCGCGTACCTGTCAGATTCATGCGCTTGCTTGGCCCTTTGTTGTGTTAAACATTAAAGCGTGGTTAAGCGCAGCAAAAAGACTTGAACAGTGTAAAGAAAGACTCTTTGAGAGAAGCAGTCAATCAGCTGAAGTTGAAAGCACCGTGTAAGTGTATTTATTTCTTGTCTCATTAGTTTTTAGCGCTACTAACGTTGCTAGGAAATCCTTGTTTTGTTTACGGTGTTGAAAAGTTGCGTTTGGTCTCATGCTGTATCACGTACCTTGTCAGTTTCGTGCGCTTGCTTGGCCCTTTGTTGTCTTAAAAAAGTAAAGCATGTTCAGCTTAATTCAATTAGTTTGTCAGATGGGTATAAATAAGATTAGTATACCGTGGCAGTGGTCACGGCGGTCCACGTGTGAAGACCGAAGTGTGTAAAGACCAACGACTCTACCTGTGCGACTCCACCGAAAAAGGACACAAATATCGCTTTTTATTAGGCTTCTTTCCTACAACTTGTTTCAGTTCTCTTTCAGTTTTTATGACCGATATTTACTATGCGTTTCCAAATCCCTACTATTACTAACACTCACAAACCACGCATCACACACTGTAGGCAGCGCAATCCTGACAACCTGTGCATTTGGTCTATGTCTTCAAATACACTCCTTTTGGTAACACTATCTATGAAGCCCGTATTTATAATACATTATACGGTATTCTTAAGGCATTATAATGAATGCATAATGTATTATAAAAAAACGTATAATATATTGCATCATCTCATGAGTAATCATAACAACAGTTTTACTGCACTATAATATTTACTTATTTGTGGTTATAGCTTTTAAGAGTATGGTTATTTATAACACAATGAACACAATGCATCCACTTAACTTACAATGGATTATATTTCCCATAGTTATGTATTATAAGTCTCATATCTTGCCATTGTTAAGATGTTACTTTACTTAAAGCAGACAAAGACCACTTATAAATAACAACAATGACGACGACAACAACAATAATAGTAATAATAATAATAAATAAAAATAGTTTTTTGTTTTTAAACAGCCATACTGTCAGATATTTGATTAGATGAATGTGTTACAGTGGTGTGAAAAAGTGTTGGCCCCCTTCCTGACTTCTTATTTTTTTTGCATGTTTGTCACTTTAATGTTTCAGATCATCAAACTAATTCGCTGTAACAGACTCATTGAAAGTTATCGCAAACGCTTGATTGCAGTTGCTGCTGCTAAGGGTGGCCCAACTAAGTTATTAGGTTTAGGGGGCAAACACTTTTTCACACAGGGCCATGTAGTTTTGGATTTTGTTTTCCCTTAATAATAAAAACCTTCATTTAAAAACGGCATGCTGTGTTCACTTGTGTTATCTTTTACTAATATTTAAATTTGTTTGATGATCTGAAACATTAAAGTGTGACAAACATGCAAAAAAATAAGAAATCAGGAAGGGGGCCAGCACTTTTTCACACCACTGTATATGCCACATTTGCTTTTAACCATATTTGTAATATCAGTAAGATACTGTGCAGATCTTAAATAAATGTCAAGATATGAGATTTATAATCCATTATAAATTAAGTGGATTTAAAGGGGTAATATGATGCGATTTCAAGTTTTCCTTTCTCTTTGGAGTGTTACAAGCTGTTCGTGAATAGATAAGACCCCTAAAGTTGCAAAGACTAAAGTCTCAAACCCAGAGATATTCTTTTAATATTTCTTTGAGAAAAGTTAAGACTCGTCCACGCCCTCCTAAAACGCCTAGTTTAAACACACCCCCACGTGTCTATATCACTGTGTGGAAAATTTGCATAACACCGCCCAAATGTTCAGAATCACGCAAAGAAAGAAGGCGTAACTTTGATTCTCGCTGTAGCATTGTTGCTACCGTAGCCACCATGTTGTGGAGATGCTGTGTTTCATTGTGAAAGCGAAACTACTTTGTTCGGTCTTCCAAAAGAGGACACAGCTAGAAATCAGTGGTTAAGTTGTATTTACAACACTGTTCCAGAACAGTTCAAACCAAATATTCAGATGTGTGCAGCACATTTTATGGAGGACGAGGACTGTTTCCAGGGAGAGTAGCCTACAATGCTGGTGTTCTGACAAATAATGCTGACTCACAGCCTGTAAAGTATGTTTTCATATTTAAGGGATTTGCCACTGATGATTCAAACTGAGTTTTGAGCAGTGTAGAGCAGTGCTAGTTGTTTGTCGTTTCTCTGATCACAAATGCAGACATGGTTTTATGTTTTTCGCGGAGCGATGCAACGCAACGCATAAAAAGACAGTATATGTCATTATAATCAGTAACTATATCCCCACTGGACGCTACAAATGCCTCGGTTTTATTGGTTTTGTCTCGTCGCAACGGGACATGGCATCACAGTATGGTAAGGGGCGTAACATTTCCATCACACACTTGAGGTATTCGGCCAATCACAGCACATTGGATAGCTGGCCAATCAGAGCACACCTCGCTTTTCAGACCAATGAGCTTTGTAAAAATCTACGCGTTTCAGAAAGGCGGGGCATAGAGGAGAAACAATAATGTACAGTATGTGGAAAATAATGTGTTTTTTAACCTTAAACCGTATAAACATTTCATTACACCAAATACACAAAATAATTTTCTTTGTTAGCGGTCATATGACCCCTTTCATTGAGTGTTATAATAAATCACACTCATAAAAGTTATAACCACAAATAAGTAAGTTTTATAATGTATTATAATCGTTGTTATGATTATTTTGACATGAAACAACATATTATAGTTTTTTTATAATGCATTATGCATTCATTATAAGTGTCTGCTAAATGACTAAATGTAGACAGGGCTTAATTCTGTGTAGGCATAGATTCTCTATGGCAAATATTAGGTGTTTATTTCAGAAATATGCATGTACTTTTTTTTTTTGTTGTTGAAAAAAAAAAAAAAAAGGTGCCGTTTTCTCATGTTTCTGTTTTCAATGTTAAATTAAAAAAAACAAATGAACGTACACGGACCGTTTTCCCAATATATCAACCAGCATTTGGGTTTATATAAATTATACCTTTAATTTACTCTGTGGGTCAAACACCATATCCTGTGATGATTTCTGTGGTTCCTCATTCTTATTTCTGTAATTTTTAAAGACAAAATGTATTTATTGGCATTTTTTATTTAACAAAATGGCATAAGAAACCTGGTCTAAAATACAAGCAAAATTATCAAAATTCATCAAAAGATTTGGCATACTTTTTTGGGTTGTCCTTATTGGTTTCTGTATCGCCGCCTTCATTGACTTTTTTGGATTCTGGATTCATGTGGTTAGCATGAGCAGACTGCTGCTTCTCACTGTGCTCATCCTTTAACTTTGAATCTCCACTGGAACTGTGATTCTTCTACACAAAAAACCCCCCGAAATGCTCAATTACATTTCTATTTGCAATTTCCAGTAACAGACCAATATATACATTTTCCCAATCAATCAACCAGCATTTGGGCTTTCTGAGATGAGATCTATATATCATTTGTATTTTTCTTTTTTTACCTTTAAATTACTCTGTGGGCCAAACACCATGTCCTGTGATGATTTCTGTGGTTCCTCATTCTGATTTCTGTAATTTTCAAAGTCAAAGTATATTTAAGGGCATTTTAATTAACAAATGGCATGAGCAACCTGGTCTAAAAAAAGAAGCATAATTTAACAAAATTCAACTAAATATTTAGCATACTTTTTTTGGTTGTCCTTATTGGTTTCTGTATTGCCGCTTTCATTTACTTTTTTGGATTCTGGATTCATCTGGTTAGCATGAGCAGACTGCTGCTTCTCACTGTGCTCAACCTTCATCATTGAATCTCCACTGGAACTGTAATTCTTCAGTGGTTCCATGCCCTGATGATCTGTTTCCTTTTGATTGCCTGTGCTGCTTTTTATGTTTGCATTCTGGTCCATAGTAGCACTCTGATCTAGAGTTGTCTGTGCTCTTGTGGACATGCTCTTTTGACCCTTATTCTTAGATTTAATTTTGTTTTTTTCAGCTGTCTGATCTGCTCCCACTGACACTGCTGGAGAATCATTGGCAGAGCTGGTGCTGATTGGCTCTTGGGTCAAATTTAACTTGGATGATTTTAACATTCCAGGTGCTACACAACTCTCCTTGCCACTATTTGACTGCTCAACAGACTGATCTACACCAGCATGGGGTAAAGTTGTGCTGAGTTGTGTTGCCCTAGTGGATTCATTCTCTGGTGGGCTCAGATGAGAGGATGATTCAGCTGGTTTAGGCATATCATCTACAGAGCAGTAGGAGCCATCACTCTCAAAAGATTGGTCTTTCTCCATTTTCTTCTCTTTATCATTCAGCGATATATCAGAGAGATCAGAGGTCAGAGACAAAGGCCCCTCTGCAACACCTGCTTTTTTCTTCTTTTTCTTTCTTTTCTGTAGGAGCAGGGTGAATAAAATCTGCATCATAAATCACCAATAATGCATAATAAGAATAGAAACATAATAATAAACAAAAAAATAAATAAATACATTTTTTTTTTAAATTCCAGGACTATTTAAATGTTAAAATTGATATACATGTCCAGCACCTTTTTCTTTGGGTTAGGGTTTATATCTTCATTTGGTCGTTTTGAAGATACACCGGCAATCTGGTAATTCAAAGCTTCTGATTCACGACCAATATCAGTCATTTCTGCATCGGTACTGTGTGGAATGTTTGAGGATGTTTGAGACTCGTCTTGTGGCTTTTCTGATAAACAAAAAACAAAGGTCACACAGCAGTCTCTAAAAAGTAGTCACAACCTCTTATAAAACCTTTGTTCACTCAACACCTAATTCTAGTTTCAAATCCTATATTTAGGACTCACTGTCCGCAATGTCATTCCATTAACAGACAATGGTTCTGTTCAAATGGTGTAGTAAATATAATCTGGCATATCAACATTGCTTGCAACATATTAATGACAAAGTCAACATGGAATGTCATTCTCAGCTGATTTTGGTTCTGTAATTTGAAGTATTTCTAAGTGGAACTGTATAATCAACGAGAAAAAATGTGAGGCCATCCATCTGACAGCTAAAGCTTCGGCAAAATTGGGTCATGCAACAGGACAATAATCTCAAGCACACCAGCAAATCTACAACAGAATGTCTGAAAAAGAAAAGAATCAAGGTGTTTCAACAGCCCAGTCAAAGTCCAGACATCATCCATTCCTGACTGAAATGTTGTGGTAAGAGCTATGAATAAAAAAATGCCCAAAAACCTCAATAAACTAAAGCAACATTGTAAAGAAGAGAGGGCCAAAATTCCTCCAGAACGCTGTGAGAGACTGATAAAGTATGAAGGCAAATAAATGGCAGAATTTTCATTATTGGGTAATTTATCGTCTGAACATTTTTACAGTCTGTGCACATATCAAGAGTTTCTAAACTGCACAAAATGAGTTAAACCCACATTACAGGTGGTTGGGGAGGAGTTGAAGTTGAAGCTGAGTTCACATCAGCTGAAAAGGAAAGTTGTTTTGGAGGCAGGGAAAATGATAAAAAATTGATGCTCATACAGAGGTCATACTGAAAATGATTACTTATTTAAGTTATTGCTTACTTGTTCAAGTTATTGCTGCTAAAAGTGGATCTACAAGCAACTGAATCATAGGGTGTTCTTAGTTTGTCACCCATGGCTTTTCCATATTGGCTTTATTTTTGCGATATGTCATGTTGTTGTTCATCTAAGGTTTAATTTTCCAAATTTTAAAACCTGCCAAGGACCAGATTATTTTTTATTATGTCCTGATACGGAAAACCATGGAATTCAATAGGATGTCCTTTCTTTTTCACATCACTTTATGTTGTGTCTGAAACTGCTCACTCATTTACTATATAATGAATCCCACAGTTAAGTATATGGAGAAAAAACTACTGACCACAAATAAGTGAAATGAGACACAGCTGTACACCATACTGCATATTGTGTTAGATTTTATATACATGTAAAATGTCCTGTCTATTGGTAAAAGTAAATGTCTTTTTATATTAAATCATGTCTTTATTATTTCGTTAAACTATAACAGAAATGTAACGAAAAAAATAAATAAGCATTCAAAGTAAGGAAATAAATAATAGAAAGAAACAAATGAAATAAACAACAGAATCTAAAATGGTAAGATCTATAAAGACTCAAGCACCCACCTGCTGCCGTCTCATTTGACTGAGACATCAGCTTACAGCCACACCGACTGCAGAAGTTTGGTGCCTTTTCCAAAGACACATGATTGCACTGAGGACACTTCATTCTCTGGTAAAGTCTGCAAAGAGCACAAGTATGAGGTAAGGGGTTTTACCCACTATTCCACAACATAATGATCTCACACAAGTGGTCACATGACTTCTAAAGAACTCCATATTGGTTTCAATTACCATTTGCATATAAATCAAAGTTCACCATCTAGAAAGTGAATTTAGTAAACACAGACTCTGGGAATCATGTGAATGAAAGAAAACAGCCTACACTTTATATAAGTGCAGATATCCACTTTAAAATGAAATAATAAGGTATTTAAGACACATTCTAATAAATGCCTGCTACACACAATTGTGTCCGAATATCAGAAGTCACTAGTTAAAATGCTTCTATTCTGCATTTTTCTAATTTAACACAAAAAAACAAATTCGCGAAAATTTGTAATGTATAAATGAAGCATGCATACATGAAAAAAGATAAATCTAAATACTATTAATTTAATTAGAATGGTTTAATATTCACGTCCCCTTTTTCTTTACTGACAGCAGCACAGGAACTGACATGAACAACCTGATAATAATGTTCTCTAGAATGATTTAAGAATGAAGCACAAGATGCTCTTTGGAACAATCTAAGTTTTAATCTGTACAATGGAGCTAACATGGAAATGTTTTATTCATTTATTGGGTAAGACCCATGTTATGGGTTATAAATAATGCATAATCTCATTCCTATTCATTTTACATGGTTTTTACCATCTGTATTCTACTTAAACTTTTTTTTCTTTTTTTGTACTGTTAATGTTTTTAACATTACATGATCATTATTCAAAATTCAAACTTTGGATAAGCATTCTACAAACACTCTTCATTTATCTTTAACTACCTTATTGTTCGTACTATTGTTTTTTTGTTGTCGTTTTTTTTTGTAGTATATTTGTATATATATGCGTCACCGTTGTTCCCTGAAAGAACTATGTTTTGCTTTTAACCATTGCCATGCAATGTGCTAAAAATGACAATAAAGTTGACTTTGACATTGAAACGCTCTATATTCTGCATGAGTCATACTGGAATCCACTGTGATATGCACATACCCGACATTCACTGACCTGGATATTATTATGATTTTTATTATATTTTGCTTGTAGGGGACCATTGATGAAGCATGGTCAATGTGAGGTCACAATGGCAAATACAAAGTTTGGTGTCAATATGTCAAAGCTTTGCAGAGATACAGCCTCGGATGCAGTTTGGCATCAATCCAGAAAATCTGTTGATGCATTAAACAATAACCATTTTGTATATCGACACGAAATCCATAAATTTCGTCAGCATGGTCTGAAGATGATCTGAATTGAAAAATCAGATAAACTGTCTATGAGGAGTTAAAAAAGTAGGTTTTCAACAAATGAAAATGGGGGACATTAAGTTTGGCTGAAGATGGCAATATTGATATCTATTTTCTTGCCATAACTCAAGGAACATTTTGAGACCAGTTTCATCACAATAGGCTAATTATACAAAAGTTATTAGCATTTTTGGAAATTTCATTATTATTGGTTAATGGCTTAAAATGAATGGTTTATCACATTTGACCAAGGTGGCGCTGTTACCAAATTGATGTGGCGTGGTCAGTGTAAGGTGACAATGGCACACACAAAGTTTGGTGTCAATATGTCAAAGCTTTGCAGAGATGGCCTGAAGATGATCGCAGTCAGTTTTGGTGAAAATCAGACAAACTGTCGAACTAGTTCGAAAAAGTAGTTTTTTTAAAACTATTAAAATAGTGAAAAATCTTGACCTTACGAATGTTAAATTTTGGTGTCCATTCGACTCCGCATGAGCCAAGGATTCAGAGGGAAAAAATTAATTTTCCTTCAAAGGTTATTAGCATAAACATGAGTGAAAATTGGGATAACGCTAGAGTGTTTGAATTAGAGACACCAAATTTGCTATGGTTAATGAGACTGTCCTCTATCAGTGGACCAAGGTGGCGCTGTTACCAAATTGATGTGGCGTGGTCAGTGTAAGGTGACAATGGCACACACAAAGTTTGGTGTCAATATGTCAAAGCTTTGCAGAGATGGCCTGAAGATGATCGCAGTCAGTTTTGGTGAAAATCAGACAAACTGTCGAACTAGTTCGAAAAAGTAGTTTTTTTAAAACTATTAAAATAGTGAAAAATCTTGACCTTACGAATGTTAAATTTTGGTGTCCATTCGACTCCGCATGAGCCAAGGATTCAGAGGGAAAAAATTAATTTTCCTTCAAAGGTTATTAGCATAAACGAGTGAAAATTGGGATAACGCTAGAGTGTTTGAATTAGAGACACCAAATTTGCTGTGGTTAATGAGACTGTCCTCTATCAGTGTGCCAAATTTCATAACTTTCCTGCAAGCGGTTCTATGGGCTGCCATAGACTTCCATGTGGAAGAAGAAAATAAGAACGCCAACGGATACAATAGGTGCCTATGCTTGGCCCCTAGTAATAAAAATCCTTACAATTACAACAGGGCTTCATGCTTCGCGCTTGAACCCCTATTAACATTAATGTAGCGACTCACATTCCTGGAGGCGTAATAAAACCAGTGATATCATGATTAGTTGTCATGGTGACCAGAGGCCTGTTCTGCCTTTCTGAGGTGTTAGGTGCACTTCGGGGGAAGGGTCCATAGACCCTCGTAATTGGCCATTTGGTTAAGTGAGGGGGAGTTAGATATTATTTGTTAAATATAACAAAAAGTTGTGTGTCTGATTGGTCCAAATGCTACATTAATTAATTCAATAGTTCTATGGTTTGAAGCAGGGGTTTCCAAACTCGGTCCTGGAGGGTCGGTGTCCTGCAGAGTTCAGCTCCAACAAGGGTTGGGCAATGTCTACCAAATTGGCATCGGACGATGTCTACAGTGAAACATCGTGATGGACAATGACATAGGGGGGTGGGGGGTGGGGGGGGGATTAGGGAGTGTGCCCGAAGCGTGAATCCGTATGAAGAAAGGCACGGAAAACAAATACATTCTACTGAGTCACTAAAGGATCATTGTTAGCCGCTTGCTAACAGTAAACTGTTACATTATAGTTAGGGATGCTCCGATTGATCGGCTACCGATAACAATCGGGCGATAATCACGTTGGGATGATTGATCGGCAGTCTCTAAAAGGCCGATCTCGAAAAAACGATCTCAAGCTGATGACGCTGCCGTGAGAGGTTTGGCACGACATGCAGCGGCACCGTCTCAGTCTGGCGCGGGTGAAATAATTATAATTCTGAAGGTGAGGTACTCACCTTCCTATTTTTTCATTAAATAACTTAAAGTAATTTGAAAACCTTGTGCGAGACGTAATTTCACAAACAGCGTGAGTGAATCAGCGCATGCACGCTCTCTCAAAATACGCAAATGGCTTCAAATCACCACACATCACGTCTGTCTATAAGTGAGCTACACGCTGCACAGTTGACAGGAATTGTCACTTGCACAATTGAGGCAGTGTCACATCGTCACTAAAGTTGATAAATTGCATTTCTTTTTTATTCTTGCCAGTGTTTAACCATTCAGCGACAGTGCGCTCATGCACACTCGCAGCGCACACACAATGCCAGGTTCACATTACTCCATTTGCAGTGCATACGTTGTGCATTTTTTTTGCTTGTAATAAAGATTTAAATGCAAAAGAAAAGGCAGTAGAGCTGTCTATTTCGGTCAATGGTAAGTTTGGGATAACATAAGAAAAGTAGTTTAAATGTTTTGCCAATTGCTTGAGCAACTTAATAAATAAATCTAGAAGTAAATGCAAAAGTAAAACGCATTGAATAATGTGTTGCTTATATTTATTGCACTTAAACATGTCTGTGAATGATTGTATTACTGTACTGTGTAAAAAAAAAGAATTGCAATGCTGAAAAAGCATTTTCAGTGACAATGTTTTGATTTGAAATCAAAATAATGGATAAATGTGTTTGTGGTAAACAGCCACGGATCAGTAGCGGACTCCTGTGTGAAAGCACAGTCCGTGCTGCTTCCCCTCTCACAAGGGTCACCTAAGAGGGGAATTCCCCCTATTTTTCAAAAATGAAATTCAGGCCCTGAATAAATGTCTAAAAATCCTTATTGGAGTAGCATTATAAATAGTTATAAATGATAAAAAGAAGGCTTTAAAAAGATCGGTATCGGTATCGGCAGATACTGCTTTCTGTGATCGGCCTCAAAAATCCTGATCGGAGCACCCCTAATTATAGTACATGAAAGTTCACTTACCACATACACAGAGTAAGGAGAAATGACTGATAGGACAATGGCGAATGATTTGCAGATACTGAGCACCACTGACAAATGTCTAATCTTGTAAAATGTGTGGTAGCGGCAGTACTGGTCCGTAGTATAGAGTCCGTGTGATCGCAAATTATGAAAGTGAAAGTGAAATGAGAGCACGCATTCGAAAGCGGTTTCAATGCCCTGCATATTAGTAGCGGCTTCCTGATGCCCGCAATTTATATACAGTATAAATACCCAACGATATAATTGCGAGAGAAAGTATTGAAATATTTTTTATCCTCCCATCTCTTAGGCTATTTATTCCCTTTAGGGGTTCTGTAGTAGACTTAATTTCCTTTCCGAACACGGAATTGGGATGCGGCGGATTGCGGGGGCAGGGCTCGCAAAATTTCAAAATCCCTGGTAGCCCTTCGGGCAGGTACTCTTCAGATTTCAGTAGCCCGAAAAAATACCTTTTTGTTTTTTTAAATATAGAAAATCAAATAGAAGTTTAAATGTCAATCAAAAATATTTTCAATACACAAATATCAACAAATATGAAGGAAGGAATTTTATTTAACTATTTACAGGGTATCTGCAGAATTTTTTAAAAATAAATTTAAGGCAATGTATGACCCATTTTAAGAGCTGCACAAGTAAAATGAACACAGTATGAGTGGTGTTGGACAATGTCTATGGTAACACAGTATTGAGCCATAAAATTACATGATTTACAGTTCAGATACAGGTTTTCACAAAAACCTTGTACAACAGCATTTCAGCCTTTAGACCATTTTTATGAAAAGGGA